AGCTGTCGCCCTGGGTAGAGTGCCGTGTCATCACAGCTCATAGCAACCTCCAACTCCTGGGCTTAAGCAATTCTCTTGCGTCAGCCTCCCAAGTAGCTGGGACTACAGGCACCCGCCACAATGCCCAGTCATTTTTTGGTTGTAGTTGTCATTGTTTGGAGACCCTGGCTGGATTCAAATCTGCCAGCTCTGGTGTATGTGGCTAGTACCTTAGCCACCTGAGCTACAGGGCGCCAAGCCATGGATTTCCACTTTTTATTATGGCCTGTAACTTCTTGCTCAGTCTCCAGCCTCACTTTCTCTCCAGTCACTCCACACATTACTCTGCTCCACCACACTTGCATGGTGCTGTTTCCCATGGAGCCTTTGCAATTTGTTCTTTCTCTTGCTGGGATGCTCATTCCCCCAGAGACACAAAACTGGGTTTTTCTTACCATGCCAATCAAAGGTCACTTCTTTGGGAAAGCTTTCCCTTGAATACCCTACCTAATAATAAGTTGCCCCCACCCCTCATTATCATCTTAGCCTGTTTATTTTCTTTATAGCATTTGCTATGGTGATTTATTTGTTTATTTAGCTGGAAGACTGCTGAGGCTCTGCTTTGGTTACTGTTGCCCCAGCACCTCAGTGCCTGGCATACAGAATCATTCAAGAAGATACATTGAGTGTGGGATCATATGAAAAAGGCCACTTAAGGAGGCTGTTGTAACTTAGGGCTCAGGTAAGGAGTTACTAGTAGTATGGATGAGGGAGGGTAGTGGCAACTGAAATAGAGACAAGCTGGATAAAAGAGACATGTATTTTTGAGGCCTCCCAAGTAGCTGGGACTACAGGCACATGCCCCCTGGCTAATGATTGATTTTTTGATGCAAGGAGTAAAGGAATGGGGGGAAGAGTCAAAAATGGCTCCTGGGTTTCTGTTTGGAGTGCCTGACTGGACAATAACTGTAAGGGGAATGCTGGAGGTAGAGGAGGTTAAGACTATGTGTTTAGTTCTGGATAAGTCAGCAAGATGACTGAAGGACATCCAAGTGGCGACACTGACTATATGGGTAGGCATATGAGCTCACGGGAGAAGTCTAGATCTAGACTCATAAATCTGGGAGTTGTCAGTCCCATGCTAATTGAAGTCATGAGAGTAAAGACAGTCTCTAAGGGGAGAACCTGAAGTGAGAATAGATAGGGGTGAGTCTCTTTAGGAGGCTGAGGTGAAGTAGCCAGAAAGACCGAAGGAAAACCAACAAAATAAATAGCCTAAGAGAGTGAGAAATGAGTATAAGGCCAAAGTGTCCATGGGATTCAGGTACATGAAAGTTGCAGGTGACCTCAGTGACTGCTAACAAATGTTAGGGGAAGAATTCGGATTCTAGTGCATTGAGGAGTGAGTGGGAGATCAGGCACTAAAGATAGGTGTAGGCAACTATTTTAAGAACCCCAACTGCAGTGCATGGGAGGAGAGTGATGAGACGGGAGCCAAAAGGAAGGGGAGATCCAGGGAACACTTTTTAAAGGTAGGAAAATCCAAGGGTGTTAATACTGATAAAAAGAAGCTCATAAAGAAGGGATTGAAGCTACTGAAATAGAAGATAACCTGGGAAAAATAATCCTGAGTGGACGAAAAATGATACTGGTCTAGGACAGGAGGGAAAGTGGAAATAATAGGTGTAGAATAGGTCCATCTCTAGCTAAGGAAGACTGCTTCACCTACAACTATATTCATCTAGAGATAGATGTGGTCATGTTAGTAGTTTTGGTGGTGGGAAGCCAATTTAGTTCCCATCTGATGGCTTCTATTTTTTCTGTGAAATTGGAAATAAAGTCATCTGTTGAGTGTTGATGAGAGGGGAGGGTTAGAACATTGAAATAGCTAATGAGAGTAGGAGAAGAGCATACTAAAAAAATACTAGGACTGCTATCTGCAGGAAAAGGATTAATGTATATAAAGTAATTGGCACTTCATGGTTGTTCTATAACCAATGAACAGTATCTGCCAACATTATTATTGTTAATATTGGCTAATATTATACAGTCACTGACCAGAAAGAGTCAACTCTGTATATAGGAGATTACAGTCCTTATCAGCAAGAGTTTATATAGGGCCTTTATCATTTATGAATACTAATAGATAATGGGATAATAATTTATCATATATAATAATACATCTACTGTTATAGTCCTTATATTTTTATGTATGTTGGGGGTTTTTTGTTTCTTTTTTTTTGAGACAGAGGCTCAAGCTGTCGCCCTGGGTAGAGTGCTGTGGCATCACAGCTCACAGCAACCTCCAACTCCTGGGCTCAAGTGATTCTCCTGCCTCCTCCTCCCAAGTAGCTGGGACTACAGGCGCCCACCACAATGCCTGGCTGTTTTTTGGTTGCAGTTGTCATTGTTGTTTGGCGAGCCCAGGTTGGATTTGAACCCACCAGCTCAGGTGTATGTGGCTAGCGCCTTAGCTGCTTGAGCCACAGGTGCCCAGCCATTTTTTTTTGTTATTTGTTTGTTTCTTTTTCCTTGAGAGTCTTACTCTGTCACCCTGGGTAGAGTGCTGTAGTATCACGGCTCACAGCAACCTCAAACTCTTGGGCTCAACTGATCTTCTTGCCTCAGCCTCCCAAGTACCTGGGACTATAGGCGCCCACCACAACACTTGAGTATTTTTAAAGATAGCGTCTCAATCTTGCTTAAGCCAGGCTCCAACTCCTGAGTTCAAGTAACCTGCCCATCTAGGACTCCTAGAGTGCTTTACAAACAATACAAAGTTATTATTTACAAAATTAACTTGTTCATCTAGTCATCAATGGCAAGCAACTGTTTTCTTTCTTTCTTTTCTTCTTTCCTTCCGTCATTTATTTATTTAAAGACAGAGTTTCACTTTGTCCCCTGGGTAAAGAGTACTGTGGCATCATAGCTCACAACAACCTCAAACTCCTGGGCTTAAGCAATTCACTTGCCTCAGCCCCCCGAGTAGCTGGGACTACAGGTGCCCACTACAACCCCCCACTATTTTTTAGAGACAGAGTCTCACTCTTGCTCAGGCTGGTCTTGAACTTGTGAGCGCAAACAATCCACCCACCTTGGCCTCCCAGAATGCTAGGATTATAGGTGTGAGCCACTGCACCTGGCCTGTTTCCTCACTTTAAAATGGCCAAATAGATCAATACCCTCCCATTTTATCCATGTAGGGTAAAATTTGGGGGAACAAAGAAGTATGAATATAAACATTCACAACAGGAACTATTCACTTTTTTTTTTTTTGAGACGGAGCCTCAAACTATTCCCCTGGGTAGAGTGCCATGGCATCATGCTCACAGCAACCTCCAACTCCTGGGCTCAAGCGAGTCTCCTGCCTCAGCCTCCTAAGTAGCTGGGACTACAGGCGCCCGCCACAACGCCTGGCCATTTTTTGGTTGCAGCCATCATTGTTGTTTGGCGGGCCCGGGCTGGGGATTCGAACCCGCCCACCTTAGGTGTATGTGGCTGGCGCCTTAGCCGCTTGAGCCACAGGCACCGAGCCACTATTCACTTTTCACTTAAAAAAGTTTACTACTTACTCACTGAGACAGAATAAAATGTCTAATACTGCACAACAGCACATAGTTTCCAAGAAAAGTGTTTTTATTCATAGGTGAAAAATTCAAATTGGAGGTAGATAAAAGTATATAAATCTTCTGAAAACTAGGCTAGATAACATGTATGCATTTGGCCAATAGTCACAACAGGCTAAATTAGAGACAATGTTATGATCTTAGTATTACTACAACTTCATTACCCCAACACATTAATGATGTGAGGTGTACAATCCAAAATATATGGAGATAATGTCTGTTCACCTTCAAGTTTTCAAAATATCTTAGGATTTTATTGCTATCAGAACTGTAAGCCAATTCTAGCTCGAATGGGAGTATGGTTATCCCAGCCATGTGGACAGGTGGTATTCATGTTATAAAACATGGATGGCCGGGCCTGATGGCTCACGCCTGTAATCCTAGCACTCTGGGAGGCTTAGGCAGGTGGAGTGCCTGAGCTCACAGGTTGGAGACCAGCCTGAACAAGAGTGAGGCCCTGTCTCTAAAAATAGCTGGGCATTGTGGTGGGCACCTGTAGTCTCAGCTATTCCTGAGCCCAGGAATCTGAGGTTGCTGTGAACTATGACACCACAACACTCTACTGAGGGTGACAAAGTGAGACTTTGTCAGGAAGGAAGGGAGGAAGGGAGACAGGGAGGGAAGGAAGGAAGGAAAGAAGGAAACGAAATGGGCCAGGGACAGTGGCTTATAACTGTAATCCTAGGACTCTGGGAGGCCAAGGCAGGTGGATTGCTTGAGCTCACAAGTTCAAGATCAGCCTGAGCAAGACCGAGACCCCATCTCTAAAAGACAGCCAGGGGTTATGGTGGGCGCCTATAGTCCCAGCTACTCAGGAGACAGAGGCAAGAAAATCACTTGAGCCCAGGAGTGAGCTATGATGCCACAGCACTCTACCAAGGGCAACAAAGTGAGCCTCTGTCTCAAAACAAAAAACAAAAAACAAACAAACAAACAAACATGGGTGACTTCAGCCAGTTTGTACAACGAGTGGTAGCAGTAACAGCCTATTTGTCAAACTTTGTAACAGAACTGCCTCAATGGGTGGCAGTTCTCTCCCCAACTCCCAATAGCTCAAACACAGAAATATATCTTTCACAGCTGAAACTTCACAGATATTAAAAGAGATATTTTATTATATAACAGAACTTAAAGTTTTCAAAAATTTACATCAACAAAACTAAAAGCCATTCAGGGCACATGAAAAAAAAATTTTGCAAACAAAACTACCTCTCACTTTCAGAAACTTGACTGAAAACAAATGGTTGAATGTGCTGCCAACACACAGGGTCAAACCATTATGTCTCTTATGGCAGTTGAACAGTGAGAGTTAAGACCTGTACCTGCTGCCCTGACAGCAACTGAAGCAGATAAAGAGAGGAGCTCACAACCAGGACATTCGAACCCAGGCCAGGAGTCCATCTACGATCCAGTTCCAGTCAGTCTGACAAGTCACTCTGATCCAGCACGATTATCCTGTGTGCATGTTTTTTAAAGAACAAAAAAGGGAGTTTCAAGTTGGCATGTATATTTCTCAAAAGCATAAACATCCTCTTTCTGTTCAACTGAATTTAAAGGAAGGGGATTTTCATCTTTATAATCAAGAGGGATCATGATCAAAAGTGGATCATGAAAGTATCTTCTGTATTCCTTCCATATTAAAATTGTTCCTGGGCTATGTCTACCACTTACGTAAAAGTTGGCATTAATTTCATCTTAGATTTTTTAAAATTTCAGATTAACATGAGGGTACAAATGATTAGGTTACATTGTGTTTGTTAGGTAGAATCAAAGCTATAGTTGAGCCCCTCACACGGGAGGTGTGCCATATACCCTTAAATTGTGCCTGTTAGGTGAGATCACCTTATATTTTAATTAAATGTAACCATTAATCTTTTAAAAATTGAGCAGTTTTGCCTGAATTCAAGTCTTTGTCTTAATGTTTATTGAGACACTGGTAAATGTTTTAAGTCTGCTCATGTTTATAAACTGTCAACTTTGACCTGCGAACATGTGACATCTCATTACCTGGATGGTTCGGACCAACCCAGTCGCTTCCAAAAACAGGGTTTTAGTTCATCTGAATGAAATATAAAAGGGAAAATAAAACAGGATTATCTTCTAGGTCAAAGGGTATTCAGAATTCACATTAGTGCTCTCTCTCCAACCTCCAACAGTTTTTTGCCTACTATGCATAATCTAGAGATAGAATCTTTCTAAAAACACAGTTAATGGGCCTCCCCTCCTAACATTCTACAGTTCTCTGCCATAGCTGTGGAGACTGATAACTAAGTCACAAAGTCCCTCCATTATCATCTCAGTGAACCCAATACTAGCTAACTGCCCATTCACCCTCAGTCCTGTGCCAGTCAAGGTTCTGGAGGAAACAGAATATACCCTTGGCTGGTTCAAATAAAGATTCCTTAATGAAGTGACTATATACAGAGGTTTAGTTAAGAGTTAAGGGAACAAACAAGGAAGGGCAAGGTATCCAGTGACTAGCACCAGCAGGAAGCTTAAGTCTGAAGGGACTAAGGACTGAGGATGAGGGGTCAGTTACTGGAACCTAGTGAGAGCTAGAAATCAGGAGAACAGACTGCATTATAGAAACTGAGTTGTGAAGTGATACCACTTCTACAAGGTATAAGGCAAGTAGGGAAAGTAATACCCCAACCTCTCTCCAATCCTCTAGGCTGCTGCAGCCTCCCACTGGGCAACAGGAAGCCCAGAAGATACAGTCCACTAGGGTGGACATCCTAGGGCACAAGCAGGGCAGGCAAAGGAGAAGGAACATGTCTTGAGAAGAGATGAAAGGGATACCAGATGATCTGAAAGAGTTACTATTTTATTTTCTAAGTAGGAGGAACTTAAATATAGGAGAGCATCATTTCCATTGGCATACTAGAAACCTTAAAACTCCATCGTAGTTTTGAAATTAAGGTTAACTGGCTCAGCTCCTGTAGCTCAGTGGTTAGGGCGCCGGCCACATGCACCAGGGCTGGTGGGTTTGAACCCAGCCCAGGCCTGCTAAACAACAAATAAAAAAATAGCCAGGTGTTGTGGTGAGCACTTATAGTCCCAGCTACTAGGGAGGCTGAGGCAAGAGAATCACTTGAGCCCAAGAGTTTGAGGTTGCTGTGAGCTATGACACCACAGCACTCTACCCAGGGTGACAAAGTGAGACTCTGTTTCAAAAAAAAAAAAAAGAAATTAAGATTAACTTATAACTTTCAAATTACTTATAGATCCCATTGAAATTCCATAAAATATGATTTCTTATTGAATTCTCTAGCATCTATGAGTTAAATTTAAAATTCTTTTGAAGATGTTAGACAATTAGAAGCAAAACATATTTCCAGACAATGTGCAAGATAATGATGAAGAGACTGGGTGAAAGTCTGCTTTATAAATAGAATTGGATGTTATTACTGCTTTGTGATGAAGCTTTGCTTAGCAATTAACAGAAAACCTGGGCTGAACTGCAGGGAAAAATAAATTATCAAAGGTAGGAAAATTATGTATAGCATCTGGGAAACATTTCTAAACAACTTTGATGCTCATCAAAGCCCAAGGACTGCAGATTATGACATACATATAAACAATCATTCATACCTTCTTCAGAAGTCCCTAAAAAGCTCTCTGATTTCCTTCTCTCTGGCTTGATGCTTTCTTCCCTTTTTCTCTTCTTTTCACCAACTTCTTGATCCTTGGTATTTATTTCCCTTTAATAACAATGATTTGGAGCATCAAACCACAAGCATAATGGCCAGGGAAAATGGACAGCACTCCACAGGAAACAAAATAGCTAACACTAATGGAGTGTTTCCTATGGGCCAGGCACTGGTTTAAGAGCTGGGACACATATTTTTAACTCCCATAATTCTCATGACCACTACCATCCATCCTCATTCAGTGATGAGGAAAGGAGGCACAAAGAGTTAAATTACACACCTAGTAAGTCCTAGAGCTGTCTGCCTGAGACTGTTTTCAATCATTATGCTATATTAACTCAAAGAAATAAAAGCATTTTACTTGCGTTGTAATTGGCATCTTTCCAAAACCATCATTTATTTTATCACCTTATCTTTATTTCCTAAACATCTCTCTGAAATAAATATCTAAGTAATTAAAATATCTCACAATCTGGCTCAACACCCATAGCACAGCTGTATACAGCCACATATACCGAGGCTGATGGGTTTGAACCTGGCTGGGGCCAGCTAAGCAACAATGACAACTGTAACAGAAAAAAACAGCCAGGAGTTGTGGTGGGCGCCTGTAGTCCCAGCTACACACACATACAAAATATCTCACAATTTTAGAGCACGTTTGTCAAACTAGTCAGCAGAAACCATCTCCCTCACTCAATGAGAAGCTCCTTAAGGGCAGAGCCATCTATCCACTTTGTAGCACCTCCAGTCCCTAGCACAGTGCTTAATAATTGTTGGGCAAACCAAAATAACACTGTTTAGGGATTCTTCTGTTTCCATTTGGTAGATAGTCAAAATACGTAAAATGAGAGAGAAAATAAAGCCACCTAGAGAGAAGAGGGATTTTTTTTCTCTCTTAACTTTTTACCATGAATAGAAACATAGGCTCAAGAGCTGGAGGAGGCCTTTGAGTTATAGTTTACCTCTGTCCAAATGCCCAAACCAGAGAGTCATCTAGCCTCTACTTAAGGAGCACTAGCCATTGTCACAGAAAGGTAACCATTTTCCCTATCAGACTGCTGCAGCTATTACAAAGTCCATGCTTCACTGAATAAAATTCTGTTACTCTGTGAGTTTTAGTCACTAACTCTGTCCTTTGCAGCAGAGGCAAGTAAGCTGACTCTCTTAACTTTACAATATTTCAGGTATTTCAGGGCAGCTATCAAATTCCCCACTCCATCTGCTCTTCTCAGGCTAAGCTTCCCCAGCTCCTTCAGCTGTTCTCATATGACATGATTTCCAGACTTCTGACTGTTCTGTGGCCACCCTCCTGTGTTTAATATCCCTTTTAAAACGTGACACCCTGAAAGGAGCTCCACATTATGTCCTAGGAGTCCTCTAAACAGCACATTACCTGTCTCACACATTATTTTATCCAGACAGTACATTTTTATCTATCAAGCATTATGGCTGTATTGACCTTCAAGTAACTTTATCAAATAGAGGCCTGAGTCATCGTCCATGTCAAATTCTTCAGGAAGAATTTCTTGAATTCTTGCCATGTTTCAAGATGTATACTAAGTGCTGGACATATTCAAGTAAGACATACTTCCTGCTTCAATGAAATTAGAGCAGGAGCTTCTGATCATAAAAATTCTCCAATTTCAGCTGGGCACGGTGCCTCATGCATATAATCCTAATACTGTGGGAGGCCAAGGCAGGAGGATTGCTTGAGGTCAGGAATTCGTGACCAGCCTGAGGAAAAGCAAGACTCCTCTCTTTTGTCTCTACAAAAAATAGGAAAATCAGCTGGGCATGGCAGCATGTGTTTATAGTCCCAACTAGTTGAGAGGCTGAAACAGGAGCACTGTTTAGCCTAGGAGTTTGAGGTTGCAGTGAGCTATTATGACGCCACTGCATTTTATCCTGGGCAACAGAGTGAGACTGTGTCTCAAAAAAAAAAAAAAATCTCCAATTAGATCAGATCTCTCACATTCTGTAATTTTGGATCTAAAATTTTTTGGATCTTTTACCTTTATCTTTTAAAGAGTCTAACATCTTCACCTATCAAGACCATTTTGTACCCTAAGTCTATCACCCATCATATTAGCCTTCATTCCTAGATCTGTATTATCTAAAAATTTAATAAGCATGCCTTTTCTGATTTAATTCAAATAGCTAATGAAAACGTTGACAGAGGCAGGACCAAGATACAGCAATCTTAAGAGGTTTGTCTCTCTACTGATGTCAATCTCTGCTAATCAGTATCATGGGCACTGTGGGTGGCTGGAGGAAGAGGGGCAAGCTCTAGAGTACAGACAGATGGAGTCAGGCCTGGCTTATCTACAGCAATGTAATGCCATTAGCAGACAGTCACTCCCCAAGAAGTCTAAAACCTAGCCCCACTTCCTGAAAAACAAGAAAATGATCCCCTAATGGGGACTAATAACCTTGTAGAGCCCTTGGGGAGGTCCTGTAGCTCCAAGGTCTCCTCAGGTGGCTGCAGCCATCTTTCCAGGTCCTCATCCAGAGAAGAATGAGCTCTGTCCAAGGACAAGTGAAGAGAATGAGGACAACTGTCATTTCCTTCTCCCTTGATAAGGGTGCATAACACTTTTTACAGCAGGAAGGCACCTGTGCTTTGACTCTACATATGGGAGAATGAGAGCTTGGTAAGATGGTGTCTAGGTCACTTAGATCTGATTTAAATGCACCAAAACAGTCCTTTAGTCCTCTGACCAAAAGACTCAGTTCTCATGAGATCACTTCCTCCTAAAGTCCAATGTTAGACTCTGTTTCACATGTAGGTCCTCAACTCAGTTTCCACCTGAGGCTAGAACTATCTATACTTCCCTACATGTTCTTCTAAGAACTACCTCTGAGGCTAGAAGATGCAGAGTAGAGAGTTTAAAGAAGACTTCCAAAGTCCTACCCATCTGAAAAAATACCTTCCACTCTGGCTTGGTGCCTAGACTGATCATTCACAGCACTGAGATGAGAATCTGTGGAGCATCTACCTGTGGCCAGCACTGCCAGACCTTTTGAAGAAGCAAGAGACAACAGTAGCTAACTTTTGATCATTTATATAACTGAAGGTAATTTTGTCTTCCTCAGCAACTGTTCTTTTGCTTGAATAATGACATAATTTTTTTTACTGAAGGTATTTTGGGGAGAGAGAAGGAATAAAGTTACATCATACACCATACACAAAACATTTCTAAAACTTCCCAGGAAAAAAAAATTTGTCTTCCCCATTTTTTTCTCTTTGTTTTCTCCCAAAAGCCCTCTCCCCACTTTCCTCTCAGGTCATAGTACCCTAGTTTCCTCTACTTCCCAGACCCTTCCAGGTCTCTCTCTTTCCTGTCCTTATATGAAGAATAATTTAGTCCTTGAAGAATTTGACAGATACTAGATTTACTACCCAAAAGTTATTCATAACATTCCCCTCTGCTCTCCTCTTCTGTAGTAGCTGGAAATCCAGAAACTTAGTTTCCAGTCTCCCTGTACCCGTCTCCAAATATACATGTAATAGGATACAATGGGATATAAGTGGCCATCTGAAGGGAACAGTCTATGGGAAAAGTTTTGCTTTCCAGGTAAAAAAGAGACAGAGTCAGACAACGTATTCCTTTGTATGAGGCCAGGTGCAGTGGCTCACATCTCTAATCCTAGCACCCTGGGAGGCTAAGGCAGGTGGATTGAACTCCTGGATTCAAGACCAGCCTGAGCCAGAGTGAGACCCCATCTCTAAAAATAGCCAGGCATTGTGGTGGGCACCTGTAGCCCCAGCTACTTGGGAGGCTGAGGCAAGAGAATTGCTTAAGCCCAAGAGTTTGAGGTTGCTGTGAGCTGTGATGCCATGATATTCTACTGAGGGCAACAAAGTGAGACTCTTTCTAAAAAAAAAAAAAAAAATTCCTTTGCCCACCCTCTTCTGTCTACCTGGTGTGGACACCAGCCAGGACAGGATAAGTCCATAAGGAAAGGTCAACACTCCATGAACAACAGAGTGGGAAGATCAAAAGGGCCTAAGTCTCTGGTGGCATCACTGGACTGCTATACCAGTCATGCCTTTTTATCTGTGTTAACACATTGCTGGCCAGGCATGAGCTATCCAGTAACATGGATGGTTTCTACATAAAATTGCCAGTCAACAATGTGTTAAGATGTTAGAGGCACTAAATGATTCTATATTATAAGCAGCTGAGAGATGAGGAGAGGCACAAGAATAAAATAGGCTGAATTTGGGACAACTGGGAACTGAGCCTGGGAGAAATTAATCAGGGAACAGATGCTATGCTAATACACCGTTGATGTGCAATTTTACACAGAAACTGTCCATGTTACCAGGTAACTCATGACGAGTCAGCAATGTGTTACATGAGTGGGCCTCTTGTTAAATGAGACAAATTCATTTAAGCATGATAGTTGAGGCTTTCTATCATTCATAGCTGAAAGATTCTGCATGGCTTCCCCAAGGATCCTTAAGGGCCAGGATTAAGATAAGGTGAGTGGCTCGGCGCCTATGGCTCAACCGGCTAAGGCGCCAGCCACGTACACCTAAGGTGGCGGGTTCGAATCC